GCAGGCGTAAGTAAAATACGAGATTCATTTTAATATAGGTACCTCCAAAAATTCGCAAAAGAAAAAAAAAAGATATATGATAAAAAAAGTCCTAAAACAATAAAAACAAATTTTTATCGTCAAATTTTTGTCATATTAAAAGGTAAGATCAAAGGAATTTTTTATCATTTTTATCCCTTTTCGAACATAGGGAATTTTGGTTAAAAGTTTTGTTTTTCTGACATTAATGCGAAACCTTTTTACGGCAAACTTGACCGCCATTTTTGCAGTTAAAACACAGAAATTATTGCAAAATTAAATAATTGTCGGATCTTAATCAAATTTTCAGGACCTATTCAGAAACGAAGGAAACTATTCTTGTTAAAAATACTTGTTTTTTATTTTTTAACTTTTTTTTTTTACTTCTGTTGACCCCCCACACACTTATTTCATTTTGTGAAATTTCGAGAAGTTTTGTATCACTTAATGTTAATATTTGTTGTAAGGACAAATCATCAGAGAATTTAAATCATAAATTTTTTTTCTTTTTGTCAAACATGACCACTAGTTACAGAAAATGCAACAAAACTAATAAATTATTTAATTAGAAAAAATTTAATTGCTTTTATTAATAAGGTATATTATAGACACGATTACCTTAAATTTTTTTCGATGAATTATATATCGTTAGAAGAATTGTTTTATCTTTACAAATTTTAATTAGAACAGTATTCCGTATTAATTTGTGACGGTTAGGTGATATTGTTATAAAGTAAAAACTATATTTATTGATTATAAATGCAAAAGCATACTACAATTCAGCGACCCTCAGTATTTTAAAAAGAATTTTGAATTTCCTTTAATGTATATATAAACGTTAAGTGTTAACTATCGCTAATTTAAAAAAAAATTATTTAGTCGCAATTGTCTAACATTTCCTCAACAAGCATCTTCGTATATGACCCAAAGTACACAAAATTCAATAACATATTAGCATGTTTAAAATATTTTAAGCTTTTAAGATTACTGGTTAGTTAATAATAATATTTTAAAAAGACGTTTACATTGTATTCGTCATGTAATTCCTTTTCAATTATGCTTTCTTATTTAAATGTCCCAAACATCAAATTATCAATAAATCAACCAACGCGTCAAAAGACACCCGCCCCCGGCCTAAAAAAAAAAGATGCTTTTTTTTTGCAATATTTTAAACTAAAAATAAAATTTGTTTCAATTCAGATAAATTAAACTTTAAACTAATTTTTCTCAAATAACTTTTCAGAATAGAATATTTTATTTTTGAAAGATTACTTTTAATAAAGAGAATTATGTTGTGTTGACAGATCTATTAATATGGTCGAATTTATAGATTTTACTGATAAAGAGAAATAAAAGAATGTTAAATTTAAACTATTAGCTTGAAATTCAAACTAAAATCAAAGCTTCAAGAAAGATTTTTCAATCGTATCTTGTCAAAAATGCATTTAAAAAAATGCATTTTTGACAAGATACGATTTTTCTTGGAGGTACCGATTTTATGAATCAAATTTAATCCGAGGCAAATTTCAATTAAAAGACACCCCAAACCGCCAAAAAGATTTCCGTGATTCAAATAACTGCAAAATTCATAAAAGCTGCACTAAACGATTTACTCAAAGGGAAATAACTAGGTAAAAGTAATAGCAATGGATTTTGCAGAGTTATTTCCCTTAGGCAAGTAATTTGGGTTGCATTTTTCTTTTCGTCTCGCTAGGAATTAAAAGCTTTTTTTTACTAGGCATTTTTTATTTCTTAACAAGAAAGAAAGTGATGATATTTGGTTCGTTGATTTTGCTTAGCGACATATCAATCTCTATGGGTTATTTAATGCCAAAATCTAAATATTTTTAACACGATTTTATTGCTTCAACTAAATATATTTTGGATACAGATAAAATATATTGTTGATTATTTTACAATAAAATGCATTGTTGCTAATTCTACTATACAATGTATTGTTGGTCATTTTACGATATAAAAATATATTGATGTTATATTTACTATAAAAATGTATTTTTATACTTTCATAGTGTTTTGTTTTTGTTTGGTTGTTCACTATTTGCCTATAGCTAGGACCCTAACAGAGGCTACCACCCCAAATCCGGGTGGACCTGTAAACGACAGCAATTAAGAGATGGTTCCACGTTCCTCAAAACCTCCAATTTCCCTATCAGAGACTTTGCTCTAAGATGTAGGTGGTGATATTGATGCCTAAAAAAAACAAAAAAATCAAAACAAAAATGGATATACGTATATATTTTATATCTGAGTAAATTTACGTGAGGTTCTTACAAAATCTCACTTTCTTCAACATATCGTCCAGTATCACAATGTGGGATATTTAATAACAAAAGTGATGAGAATATGAACAAAAAGAAAATAAACTAAATGAAATTGGCCAGACCAGAGGCGGGCAATCTTTTTGAGAGTGCGTGCCAAAACCGGCCAAAGCTCTGACACAAAATTTTTCCACGCGCCAACAAATATTTTTGAAATCTCAAAACTAGCAGCAACTAAGTTGGAACTGGGGCCACCTGAAATAAAGTCTATAAAAATATCAGCCTGTTTTTTGTCTTGTTCAGTTCACAAGAAATTCATTTTCTTTTTTTTACCTCTTCAGTTTTATTGCTTAAGTTCTTATGAACACTTTCAAACTGTTCCTTATCAGAAGAAGTTCTAAAAACGATTGTTTTGGAACAGAAAATGCATAAGACCTTATTTTCTTTATTAATCATACGACATCTTTCAGTCCAGTATTATTTAAAATCACCAGATAGGAACTGTGGTTGTGTTTCTTCCTTTTTTTATGGAAGAGCGCACATTACTGGTGAACCATAAATTGCCAAGAGGAGTCGTAGTGTGTGGTCGAGAGGATGGAAAAAAACAAAAAAAAACAATCAGTATCGGCTGTGTCACCGTAGAGAGGGGGTATGATGTTGAAAGACCCGAAACCCCTTAATGAACCTCGGCTAGATGATGGGTACCAAAGCATCTAATAGATGTATTTTACGAAACGAAATTCTCTAATATCTTCTTCATTTGAATGACATCGTTTCTTAGCTAATGATCGTGACAATCTGTAAAGTGGCGGGGGGAATAAAAATACATGGGATAATGATATACATGAACGAGGACAAGAATAAAAGGAAATTTAATGAATAAGTTTCGTGTGCCAGAAACAAGTCATCGGTGTGCCATGTTAGGCAATCATGCCAAGGGTTGCCGACGACTCCTGGGGTAGACTATATATATATATTTTAAAAAAATTAAATTTAAATTTAAAATTCTTAGCGTTCTTTATGCGACTGAGAATTCACATTAACATAAACACCCCTTTAGTCCGATGAAGTCCTGAAGGATGAAACACGTTACAAGAAAATATTTTCTAATTTTCCATATTTTTCTTTTTCCTAAAATTGTTCTTGATATATAAAAAGCGTATATCCCGTTCTCCCATATTTATGTATGTATTCATATGTATCAATGAATTACCACTTTTGAGTACTTTTCCATATTGGAAGAGTAATCTAATATATATAATTCAATAATTATTAAATTCAGAATAATTAATCACACACACACACACACACACACACACACACACACACACACACACACACACACACACACACACGTATTGTGTGAAATTAGATATTTTATGACGTCAAATAAGTACGAAAAAAAAATCAATGTATTTGATATATACCGTACCTATGACCACTAATCCTCATAAATACGTTGGACTATTATAAGTGGGAGTAATATGCTAAGTAGTCCATCACTAGCAGTGGTTTACCTACATCACGCCGCTGGCGAGTATTGTATTTTGTTGATGTTATAAAGATTACCATTTCATTTCCAACCTCCGTTTTGATTATTCCTCAATCAGTAACCCTTCCTAGGTTACAACAGTATTAAACTCAAAAATATCATTTAATTAAAAGGAAAATACGTCTAATGTAGTATAAAAAATAAAATTATTAATTCTACTAAGTTTCATAAAATTGAATAGAATAAATAAATTATGCTCTTGAACTATTGGCAATTTATTTTTAAACATAAAAGTCAATGTTTAGATATGTGTTCCGTATGTATTTAATTTTCGCGCGCTTTTAAGTTAGAGGTGTGGTTATACAGTTTTTATTTTTGACCTATTACCCCACAGGCGACCGTACATAAATAAACATTATAATCATTAAGTTTCATAATATGCACAATATTTTTTTTTAATCTTTAATAAACGCATTGGATTAATAAATGCTTGTTCTTTTGGGCATCACTCGTATATACACTATAGTTAAAAAGTTTTGGGGTGAACCCTGGTAAGTTTTTAAATTGGCGCCAAAAGTAATTGTTTTGTACTTTAAATAAGAGACAATTGCTATACATAGTTAAAAGGAGTGAGAGATGATTTTTTTATTAGAAATTTTATTATGGCAAAAAAAAAAAAAAAAGGAAAAATAAAAGAAAGCATTTTATGATTAAATTTTGCTCTCTTCAAAATATCCTCCTTTAATCTTGATTACTGCAGCACAAATTTTTGGCATTCGTTGCAAAAGCTTCTCAAGGTATAAGTTGGATAATTGATTCTATTCTTTTTTCAATGACTTCAAGAACTCTTTTTCATTTTTTTTATCGTTTTACTGCTATTCCAAACTAATTCTTGGGGTGGCTTCAAACTTTTGAACTGTAGTGTATACTTATTAAATTACGTTCGTCCAGTCAAATCCATTACATTCACTTTCGTGCTAATACAATCCTCTTCTCTTCTTACTCCTCAGCTATGGCTAAATAGCGAGACGGACCGGGTTCTCTAGCCTTGGATAGCAACTGGTCTACCGCAGAAATAAATGGCAACCTACTGCGAGAAAAAAACTGACTCGTCAGTCATGTATCGAAAGACACATGATCGCCTAAGTGTTTAATCACTCATGGCACATAACTGACAGATTATTATCTCAAGGAAATGGAAAGCAGTGCTTACGGGCACATCACGTTGAAACACCGGTTTTCGTACGATTCACCCAAGTTAAGCAACGTCGAGTCTGTTCAGTACCTTGATGGGTAACCGCGTGGGAATGCCAAGCGCTGTAAGTTTGGATGTGCGAGTGGCTCGGAATGACTCGGAATTGTTAATCGGAGAGTCGAGTTTTAATTCTGGTTGGGTTCGTTATATTCACTTATGCACATTGGAAAAGGCATGAATCCACCTCTTCTCCCTTAAGCTATGGGTCAGTTAGTAAACTTGTATAAGCCGTGGAAATCGAATCAGTCATAGAAAAAAAAAATTAATCAGACTTTCATTCATTGGTTTTGCAAAGGTTTTTACTCCATCCATTAGTGAATGTGCAGCTGGTGTAACAGAAAATAGCTTGGTATGAGAAATCGGAGAGCCGAGTTCGAATTCCGACCGAGTTCATTGCATTCACCACTTACACGCCAATACCCTCGGGAAAAGTATGAATTCAGCTGTCTCCACCTAGTTAATGGTAAAGCAAGTTAATAAAAACTTGTTTATATATATATAAACTGATTAATGTTTTAAAAAATTTGGGTTTATATAGATTGCGTGTATTGGTGTTATTGTGGAAGTGGTGGGGGAAACTTCGTCGTTTTGTCATTCATCGTACTAACGCAAACATCGATGTATGCAGACACATATACATACTTGGTCGTCCGTCGGGACTCATACACATATAAACATATGTGGGCAGTTTCGGATATGACATATGTATGTATACGGGTGGTGTTATGTCTATACATACGCAGTCAGTTTGTCTGACGATCGCTAAAGCGTGAAACCCAGGGTCACAAACTCACATCTATCCAACCAAATATGTTAGCTCTATCTCTGATATTGAGCGCTTTCTAATAAGTACCGCGCATATAATATATAAATAATTATACATATATATATTTATTTATATTTATATACACTTTTCACATATATATATATATATATATGTGTGTGTGTGTGTGTGTGTGTGTGAGAGAGAGAGAGAAAACTTTAAAACTGAAAACGAATATCTTGTAAAATATCCCCATGAAAAATGAAAATATATGCAGCATATGCAATGCAGATAACCAAGCCCCAGAAAAAACATTAAATAAACAAAAATTAAATACCGTATTTTCCGGCGTACAAGACGCACCTTTTTTCCCTAAAAAATACCCTGAAAAATACGTGTGCCTCTTCCAAGACGGATGTAAAGCAACACTTCACTAATAGGGACGTGGATTTGTATGTTGAGTCATTACACTATAATATTAGATATCTATCTAATTCAGCCTTTTATATGATGTAACCTAAGTTCTTAGCAGTTACAAGTATTTCCAAGACTATAAATCTTCCTGGAGCCGAGCCACAAGCTTAAATATGCTCTGTTTACTAGCAGCGGCGGGAAGCTTTGTGCTCTTGACTAGTATGTCATTTCCATACAAACAAAAACAGGCGAGTGATTAATGTAAACAATACGTGGTGCCAGTAATGGTGAATATGTTGTATGAGAATTACCTTTTTTTTTCTTAGAAATTTCTTTCTAATATTAGGGTGCGTCTTCCAAGCCGCAGCGTCTTGTGAGCAGAAAAATACGGTAAATAAAAAAAGCAAATTAAGTAAATAAGAAACAAACTACAAATTCACAGGTAAACACAAGTAAATGTAATAATAATAATAATCAACAGCAAATAATTAAGTAATCGATAATAAATAATGAGTAAAAAGTTAGCAAACAGCACAATGAAATGGCCACAAATTCCGATCTACAATTATTCCTACTGAATAGCCTCTAGCATAATTTGAAATATAACAATTACCACCTACTAAATAACCGCTAGAATAAGATAATAGACCTTATTACCCATAATGCCACACTGACTAGCATATATAAAAAGTAAAGCCAAAACACAACACACATGGCCTGAAGATTGTGTTCAAGCATAAAACACACTGTCGCCGCCTGATGTTGATCGCTGTGTCAATTTATATATATATATATATATATATATATATATATATATATATATATATATATATATATATATATATATATATACTGATGAGCTGTGATATAGCGAAACAGTTTGTCTGTGGATGACAATATATAAATTCCTGAAAAATTTTTTTTGGTTGAGCTCTCTGGGAGGAAGTGTGGGTTTGTAAAAGTGACTATTACGGCTAATAATGCAAGACTCTTCGGTAAATCGAGTTCTCTCAATCACTGTGTGTTTATCTAAAAAAATAAATACGTTTAAATTTCACCTTCAATTCTGTTGGATTTCGATCCTAGCGAAACAGTCTGTCTGCGGATGACAATATATATATATATATATATATATATATATATATATATATATATATATATATAGTTGGAATATGAGTTTGTCACAAACTCATATCTATACAACAAAAAAATGTTAGCTCTATAACTGATATTGAGTACTTTCCAATAAGTACCGCGCATATATAATATATATAGAAAATACACACACACACACACACACACACACACACACACACACACACACACACACATATATATATATATATATATATATATATATAAACAAAAGGAGAACTTATCTTAGCTGACGTGTTTCCTCCTCTGATGAACTTTTACAAGTAAGAATTTTATTTTGCAACAAGTATTTATAAAGAAAATTAAGAAAGTGTTAGTTTTAAAATTTTTAAATTTAAGAAACTTTTATAAATATTCATTAACTTTTCGTTTTGTAATTATTCATATTTTCCTTTTTCAGTTTTATTTTATTTATATCTGAAATTTTACACACACACACACACACACACACACACATATATATATATATATATATATATATATATATATATATATATATATATATATATATATATATATATATATATATATTCTCATACAAGGAATACGGCTTTCGTATCTCCAGATCAACTACTGATGTACTAACGATAATTGCGGATAGAGTCTACCGTACTTTAGATAAAAACGGTGAATTCCGGGCTGTAGCTTTGGACATTTCGAAAGACTTTGACAGGCTATGGCATTCAGAACGGTATCTCCGGGTATGTTCCTATCAAATCGTGAAATTAATGTTGTCTGAATGGCTACTCGTCCACATCATTTTGTACTAACGTGGGCGTTCCCCAGGGCCCTATCCTTAGTCCTACGCTGTTTTTAATCTTCAGTAACGACCTTCCCGGTGACATCGGCTCTCAACTTTGCATCTACGCTGATGACACAACCATTTACTCCTGCCTCGATAGTAAGGCTGATCAATCAAATTCAAAATAGCTGTCGATGTACGAAACGACCTCAAGAACATCGTTAATTGGGGCAAAAGATGGCTTTAACGCTTCCAAAACTAATTTTTTCTTCATTAATCATCCAAGAGACTCCTCTCTGCTTTCTATCAGTATGGCTGATGTTATCCTCCAAGAAAGTGACTCCTTGCGCCTTCGCGGGCTAATGTTATCAGATGACATGCGGTGGAAAGGCTACACTGAATCCATCACCAGATCAGCTACTATGGAAGTCGGTTCACCATTGTCAAGCGAGACATTTTTATCCCCGGAATCTATCTTGCATATCTATAAGTCTACTATTTGTCCATACTTAGCCCTGCTATTTTCCAGAAGCTTCTCGATAAGATACAAAGAAGAATCAGCAATATAATAGGTCCTGATCTGACATCTTGGCTTCAGTCACTTTCCCACTGTCGTAAGGTCGCTTCTCTGTGCCGTTTTTTATAAATACTTTCATAGTAATTGTTCGGATGAGCTCTAAGCTATGGTAGCTAGACTGGATGAATTTAAGCGCAGCACTTGACTGACGGTGAGATCTCATAAATTTAGAGTTGAGTTCGTTAGATTTAGCTGAAAGTTCTATGCTAAAAGTTACCTATCCAGCACTTTCTGGAGCTCAACTTTAATCTGCAAAAATTTAAATGGAATGTCAATCACTATCTACTGTCCTCCTGATTTCTCATTTCTTTCTCCTCATTACTAATGATTCTGTTACTAATTCCTCCACACTCTGTAGCCCCTTGCATGCTAGTGGCTGTACTGCCTTGCTTGGGGTGATACCGATTAAAATACGCACAAACACACACGTATATATATATATATATATATATATATATATATATATATATAGTGTAACCCGTATATAAGAGAGTTGTCGGGACCGGAGAAGTCTCTTATATCCGGGTTTCTCTTATATCCGCGTTTGGTCTATTTTATATACATTAACACAGGCTCTAATTTGGGACCAGAGAAAATCTCTCTTATATCCGGGTTTCTCTTATATCCAGGTCTCTTATATCCGGGTTACACTGTATATGTTTCAATGCAACAAAGAAGTCTTTTCCTGACACTTGGTTAAATGTCATCATTATATCAGACTTTACATTATTTTCTTAGTTGGATTGAAAATTATATATATATATATATATATATATATATATATATATATATATATATATGTATCTCCAAAAGAAAAACGATACCTAATGATGAAAATGCATTTTTAAAAAAGAAAAATCTTTCTTGAAGCTTTTATGTTAGGTTTAGTTTCAAGCAAATAAATTAAATTTAATATTTCCAATAAGAAAAATATTTTACTGCATTTCAAAACGAATTTAAATTGATTGGAATGATTTTTTTAAATCTTCAAAATTGCTAAAAATTCACCATATTAGTGACTCAGAAACACAACATGATTCCCTTTATTCAAAATCTTTCAAAAATAAAATTTACTTTTCAGAAACTTCATTTGAAGAAAATTCGCTAGTATAATTATTTTGATTTGAAACAAACATTACTTACATCTAATTTAAAATGTGGCAGAAATGATTTTTAACACAAGAGATTCGTGTTTTAATGAGGTCTTGACAACTCGATGAACTTGGAAATTTTTTCTAATCGAGACATATCGGTAAAAATTACTTGACGAATATAATGTAAGCGCCATTTTTATATAATTTTTAAACTAACCAGTAGTCTTAAATATTTAGGAAAATATTCTAAGTAATCTAATATTTTACTGGATTTTAGGTACTTCGGCTTTATAGTTTAACTTACGAAGACGGCTGTTGAGAAA